ACTTGAACCTATATGGGATACGATATGCATAGTAAAGACTAACTTTATTTATTCATATTGGATTCAATTTCAAGGGATACGCTACATATAAAAATCGAGTCGTAACACAATCATACTCGTACTGTAGTACAGAGTTTCGCAGCTAAAATTAGCATAAAATTCCATTGTTAAAGATGTGCTGTGTTATGTTGTCATTTTACATTTACTAGTTCACAGTATCAAACATTCATATGAAATATAAATACTGCAATCGGTAAGTGAAACGTATATACTTCATCGTTAAATTATACTCATTCAAAGGAAAATTCGGAAACGTTTCCAATCGATGAACCGAACAATATCGCCCTTCTTAACTGTACTCCTTCGATTAAGGAATTGTATCAGCTGTTGTTCTGGCATAGATCTCTCCTTGTTCATCTGCTAGCTCTCGCTGAAAGAGTCGGTTTCTTTAACAGAGTTCAGACGGGATGAACTAAAGATTAAATGACTCTAAAGGGATGACTTAAAACTAACACCATAAAACGATAGAGTTCAATTTTTATAATTATTAGGTAGAGTAGTGAATTGAAGCGGGCAAGTTAGCAAGGCCATGCTTAGAAGTGAATTGAACATAACGCTCTTCCAGGTGTTTACTTCTGCTCCTTTATGTGGCTTTTTGTTCACATATCAACGCACTCAGCACTTTTATCCTTGTACTTCATTTTGATATGCCCAATGAGAATTTCCCCAACATCTTTTGGAAAATAACTTCACGTATAATTAAGTCTTCACCATAATAATAAATAACCAGCTCTGATGTAGTTTGTTATTTTTAATCAACTACTTCGCTACTACTCTTAGTCGGTTTTTTTATTATTAACAATTTAAACTAACAAATAGTTATGTGTATGGTATAGATCACGTGATCGTTATTATTTGTGTGTTTTTTGTTGCATTGTATCTCGACTTAAGAAAGAAATTTGTTGGTCCACTTTCTTACATCGAGAGCGGCTGTATTATTATAATGCACTCATTCGTTAATATAATTATAAAATTTCGCATAACCTGCAGGATATAACTTCTACTATCTCTACAGTTTCTTTATTCATACTCTTTTTGTATTATTCTGCTTCAATACCCCGTCATCACATTCCCGTCTTCGGTGGTGGCGCCCACAACAGCTGTCTCAATTTGGCATCACGTTTTCCTGCTCTCAGTTCTTTTCGTCTCTGATACTTACTCTTCTTTAATTCTGCCTTGTATCCTGCCAGCTTCTCTACAAATCGTTTCTTCCGGCGTTCAATGTATTTCTCGCTTCGTTTCCAATTTGCTTTTAATATTCTCCGTACTGCCTCTTGAGATATTCCAAATTCAGCCGCGAGGTTGGGAACTGTAAAATGATCAGGATGCTATTTGTGAATGTTGTAAAGTTAAAGAATGAGATCAAGCTCCTTGTAAACAATACATTGGACCAGATAACGAAACGCTTAACTTGTTGATGCAGCCTTTGAATCTGTTTCATTTGCTCGTTCGACAGTTTCTTTTTCGGATTCCATTTTTCAAACTCTATCTTTTCTTTGACAGCTAACCGATGTTTTAACCACCCAGGTAGTGCCCTTTTGGTTTTCCAATCTATAACATACTTTTGGTAACCATCTATTTTCTTCTTTAATCTGTATACATCTTCTTGATTTAATTCACCAGGTTTTTCGGTTACCTCGTCTTCAATTGCCTTGGCTATTTTTTTGTTTCGTATAGAATCAAGAAGTAATCGTTTCTTATCAACTTTTATGTCATTGTTGGTTACTTTGTCTTTGATTATATCCCTATATTTTGAAGCTTTAATTTCGAATTCATCGTTGCCTGTCTGTCGATTCTTTTCGAGTATGGAAGCAGCAATTGCTGTTTTTATTCGGTCAAGTTGCTTGGCTCGGTACTTCGACCGCCAGGTTGATTTTTTGTTACGAATTCGATGTAATGCTGCCTCAGTGTTTGTAAGGTAATGGGAAGGGAGTAGGCGAGGGGAATCCGACTCTTCAGTATCGGAATTAAGGCGACAGGCTGTGGTGCTTAGCGAACGACTATAAGAGGTACCTCTCCAAGAAGGCTTAGGAGTTACAATAATTTTTGATACTAATACGCTTAATGAAAAGTCAGAAATGGGGTTATGTATGGACTTGCTCGAATAAAGATGGATTTGATGATAAATACTAGGCGTAGATTCATAGTTGATAACTCGCTTTGCATAAAGTTTTCCGGCTGCGACGAACGACCTATTTACCAAGTTTATTGTCAAAGCGGTGCTGCTGTTTTGAACAGAGTCTTTTCCTAATCTCGTAATAAGGGACAAATATATCAGTCTAAAATTGTTAAAAAACGGTTGTGGGGACATTTCTTTCTTAACCTCTGAATAAATTTTGGTATAATAATGGGTCATACGTGTCACGAGATCACCAAATATCGCCTTCACTTGCTAACCGCGTACTTGTTTTCCGCTGGAGCGTCGTAAAGCCTGTAGAAGTTTCTACGATTCCTACCCAAGGAGTGTTTTGAAGAATTGGAAGATATAGTCGATATGCATCCACACCGCTTGAGAGCGAACAGTCAGTTTTTAATTATTTAGGACAATCTAATTGTTGGACTGTATACATGCGACGACGGAGTGCTACTTTTGAGACTATGCCAAGGAATAGCCCATTACTAGCAGAAATAGACGTTGATCGTGCTCCGAGTTACGATGCTTGCAGTCTACTATGCTTTCTAATCTCTGCATTAGAAGAGCTCGAAACGAATACCTATGGCATTGGTGTATTGTTTAGAAATGTGAAAGAGAGCTTAGATACACTCTCTGTAAAAAGAATTCTATATGTGCAAATACACACTATCTTACTAATTTAGAAATACAGCTTTCATTGAATGTTTATATTCAATTAATTCAAGAGTGTGCTTCCATTTGAGGAGACTGTCTATTGCTATCCGGAGAGCTAAGCAACATTATGAACTAATACCAAAAATACTATTATTATTGCTTGGACAAAACCTAAATCAGTGAAAATTTTTATTAGCCATCATTGGACATGTTTGTTACCTTCTGTCTTCTTGTTTAGTATTGGTAGATCTTGAGTCTATATTTATTACAAACAATGCGTTTGATGATGACTTTGCAAACGTATTATTAAAATATGTGGGGCATAGTTTGAAGTCGGTTTTTCTACATGATCAAGTGACTCTTTTGAGTTGTGTAGCCAAATATCTGAAGTAATTATGGGTTCATAATTATCAAATTTCAGCATGCTTTTACAATTTGAGTATGATAATGTTTCTTTTTGTAAATCGCACGACACGGGCTAATAAATTCTACCGCTTAGGAAACTTTCACGATGAACGATTTTATTAGTAGTTGGATTACTTTTTTCAATATTCATCCTCTTCCTTTTATTACTAACTAATGACTTGGAATAAATATCAGCCAAGTTCGAACTGGGTCGAATTGGCTGGTTTGATATCTACCTATATAAAGACATTATTTTGACCATGAAAATTAAGCACCATCCAGTGGGCATATATAAAGACCACATGAATTTCAGTCATCGAAATAAATAATTATTCTTTTGATCGGGTGCAAAGACTTAAATTCATGTGATCTTTAATACTAATGGATACGCATAACGATTGAGGATTGTCACATCTGGATCACGTTTAATTTTCATAGTGATACGTTCTTTATTTTATTATGATTGTTATAGGTATAATACATTGTAATCACATTACGTAGTCTATGTTACTTTTTTAATATGTCCAACCCCTGTAATCAAATACGATAAACAAAGTCCTTAATTAAATGTCAATTTTCAAGATAATCAACACACATATTCAATTTTCTCTTAAAGCATACCTGTTTTTCCAAAAATCTATTTAAAGCATCTTTATTATCGTCAGGGAAGAGCGAGGCGAAATCAAAGTTATCATGTTTGACTTTACGGATTACCATCTGTTCGCCCTGATAAGTATAAAATAACGGTAAACATTCTTTTGGGAAACGTGAATTCTAAATACCATATCATACCGAACCCTCAATCCGTTCACATACCATAGAAGCTTTTATTGAATTTAGATATGCTGCCACAACCTTTGCCGAGGGTGGTTCACTCCCTCCTATGTCAGTTAGCGGTCGTATCAATTCAGCCACTTCATGCACCTCCATCTGAGCGCCGTGTAACAATTGTCCAGTGTGTGCATAAGCTTGGGGAACATCAATTCCAATATCGTCTAAATTGTCCATAATATTAGTAAACGCTTTCTTGCAATCTGCTGAACATATTGCAGATTGCTTCCGAAGTTCCTTGAGAAGGTCGGCACAATTCGAAACATCGGATGGTTTCTTGTCAAGCGCCGATTCGATAAACTCTCGGATTGCATCCCCAAAATATCTGACAGGAAGTTCTTTGATACATACGGCAACTTCCTGTAACAGTTTTAACAAGATCAGCTCTGTAACAATATAAAACTGATGGATTTGTAAGTAATAAACGAACCTTTTTGTCTCTCACTGACCAATATTCGTCAACCATGGCTTTAATCTTTTTCTTGGCTTCTTCCTGAGACATTGATGTGGACTTAACCACACCGCTACTCTTGTTCGATTGCCATTTGTTCTCAACGGGCTTAGGTGATCCATCAGTTTTCAAAGTACTACCTCGCGCAAGAACAACTAGCTTCTGTCTTTCCGGTGGGTTTGACGCCGGCTCGTTCGAAGATCCATCCATACTTTTTCGGCCTTCTTGGTCGCTATTTAATAGAACGCTATAAGTATTGTTAGACGTTGAGTGTGTTCTGCTCATACTAGAGCCCTTCTCATCACGATCTTTGTTATCGGTTGGCCAGCCTTTCGAGCCACTTGCCAATCTTGCAATTGTACCACTACCCGGAGCGAGATTCATATTGGTGCCGCTAATCTTGGTGCTACGCACTTGTCCGAATCTTGTGAGATCGACTTTACGGGTTGATGAGGGGCCAACAGTGTTCCATCCGTCTGACATTTGTTGCATGCCGTGTTGCATACCACCCTTATCGCGGCCATCGCGCCTGCCAGAGCCGCCACGAGACAATTGTTCGGCTATCCTAGGCATATTTCGACCACCACTAGTACTCGCTGAGCGTCGAAGAAGTTCGGCTTCTTCTTTTTGTTTGGCAGCCTTATGGAAATATAGCGTTAAAAATGTTCCGTACTAATATGTTCACATTTCATCAATTGATTGTTTTGTCATCCTACTTACAGCTTCATGAATCTCTGCAATCGTCTTGGGTGCGTTGGTATCATGGCGTGGTACCCAACTCCGTTTTCTGAGTTCAATTACGTCCTATAGAAAAACATAGTTAATAGCCATTGAACCGTCAAAATGATACATTTCCTTAAGAGCCATTGGCATAATTACCATAAGCATAAACCTTATACGACTGTTAAGTTTTGTATTCTTGCTCATACTATCCATACGAACAAAGTAAGCGTCCATATGATCCTTTGCTTTCGGATGATCCAGTTGTTTTCCAACTGTCGTAAGCAATTTACACAGAGATTCAGTTTCCTCTTCTTCTGGGTCTTGATGATTAGCTAATAGTTTCTTTATACACTCATGCATAATACGCTCAGTCAACATATGCAATTTGAATAACTCTCCAATAAACTTAATCAAACCCAGTCCATGTCTTTTAGCTTTAGCAGCAATGTAATATTCATCAGACAACAAGTCAGGCTCTCCCTTCTCATTATTTGGTATTGGCATATTAACTTTCCAACCCTTTTCAAAGTCCTCCTGACATCTGTTAAGTAGGTATTTCCTGAACAACGTACCACCGCGCACATATTCATCTGATGCATTCTTAATATTCTCATCAAAAATATCCATATCAATGCGCTCCATCATCTTCCGACAGAGTTGCGCATACATCTGACTAAAATTGGGTTCATCACAAGCTTTCTCAAAGGTAAGCTGAATAACTGTCTTTAATATTCTCCCATCACGCTCGTCTTTTGATTTATTTGCAAACTCGATAATGTGATCAGATATAGTCTCAAATTTCTCCAATGTCAACTTGTTGAGCAGAGCTTTGATTTTTCTCTGTAGCGTCTCAGCGGGGATCATCTCTTCGCCAGCCTTGGGAATCTCTCCGGTAACTGACATAGATACCCATCTGTTTTCGGATCTCTCAAGAGGAGTGACCATTTCCATTGGTATTGTCGGTCCACCAACTTGCTGATGTCCACGCTTAGACCTCCTATCTCCCTCTCGTCCCCCACGACCACTATTACTAGGCGTTCGAGGGCCCTGCGAATTTTGGGCTGCGTTTATCGCTAGAGGTGGTAACAATGGATTTCCGCTTGCCGTTCTTGGACCAATCCCGGAATTACTATATCTGGTTTGCATATTTGATCGCATAAAACGCTCTTCGCTCGTACTGGGTTGTTTTTCAAATTTGCCCATCGGAGGCTGTGGATAGCTAGACTGCGCAGGAGAAGTCTTATGTGAAAGACCCCGTTGATTAGATCCACTGATACGATGTTTCTTGTTTTCTTTCGGGTCTTCAACACCTATTGCATCCAAGTGTGGTAAATTATCCGGTTTCTCTTTACAAAAACTCATGAACTGCATCAAGAATGAACGGTCATATTTGTATTTTCCTGGTTGGGCATCTTGATTTAACGTGGGATCGGGTGATTTAATATTTGGTGGATAGGTTACAGCATTAAGGTCTTCTATTTTTCGTGCGCTACCTAGTGCGCTGGGAGGTGCACTAGGCACCGATGCTGACGTTGTTCTTGATAAATCTAAATTGGCCGGTCGATGACCTTTTTGTTTTCTCTCTTCTTTAGTGTCCTTTCTTTCACTGGGTTCTCTGTCAAGGTCAGTAGTATTTGGTTTAGGTTCCTGCTGATTTTTTTTATCAGTTTCCTCTGCGGTAGTTTTACTTTTTGCTTCCTCTTGCTTCTTACGTTCCTCCTCACGTTGTTTCCGTTCACGCTCTTTAAGCTCTAGTTCTTCCCGTTCTTTGCGTTCTTGATCTTCTCTTTCCTTACGCTCACGCTCCTCACGCTCCTTACGTTCCTTTTCTTCACGTTAACGTTCTTCGCGCTCCTTACGTTCCTTTTCTTCACGTTCACGTTCTTTACGCTCACGTTCCTCCCTTTCTTTGCGCTCCCTTTCTTTGCGCTCCTTTTCTTCGCGCTCTTTAAGTTCACGTTCTTTACGTTCTCTCTCTTCGCGTTCTTTACGATCACGCTCCTCCTTTTGTTTGCGTTCCCTTTCCTCACGCTCCTCCTTTTCTTTGCGTTCCCTTTCCTCACGTTCCTCCCTTTCTTTGCGCTCCTTTTCTTCGCGCTCTTTAAGTTCACGTTCTTCACGTTCTTTGCGTTCTCTTTCCTCGCGTTCTTTACGTTCCTGCTCCTCACGATCTTTACGTTCACGTTCCTCCTTTTCTTTACGCTCTCTCTCCTCCTTTTCTTTGCGTTCCTTCTCTTCACGTTCCTCACGTTCTATACGTTCCTTTTCTTCCCTCTCTTTACGTTCCTTTTCCTCGCGCTCTTTTTGTTCACGCTCTTCTTTCTCCTTCTTCTCACGTTCTTCTCTCTCTTTCCTTTCTCTCTCTTCCCGCTCCTCCCGCTCCTCCCGCTCCTTCTGTTCCTTCTCTTCCTTCTCCTCCTTCTCGCGTCGCTCCTGCTCCTCTCTTTCTCTCTTCTCACGCTCTTCCTTGGCAACAGGATTCACTATAGGTATTGCCTTTGAATCTCGTTTCTCGGCGTCTTGACTCTGATGATGTTCTTTATCAGCATCTTCTGAAATTTGTGTTTCAGAATTTGAAGGTAAATCATCCGTCTTCGTATTTGGACTTTCGAGTGGAGGTCGTACTTCATCACGAGTCAATGGATCGATTATAGGAATTGCTTTTGATATATTAGGGGTCGGAGGGGTGACGAATTGGGGAGCATTAGAAGGATGTGAGTACCCCGGAACAGGCGCTCGGGCAACATGGGTAGTGTAAGGCATATACATCGTGTTTGAATAAGCAGCATAAGGATGTTGATATGCGTACTGATCAAACGGCTACAGGTTAACGATAATAAGAAAAGTGTTAGTAAAGTTATCATGATCCTGAAATCGCTATTATCAGGACTCGAAAAATCTCACAACTACAAATTGTTTTTACATCCAATTAGTAATTAATATAAAATTACTGATATAACAACTATTTCGATCAACTTTTTTTATCATCACTGTTATTACTGTAGAGGCGTTTGCGTCACCCTACAGTATTAACCCTCTGTTTATCTGTTCATGTGCTTGGAAAAGGAAAAGACTTTCCTTGAATCGAATTGATTCAGAGAAAGAAAATAGGTTGCCGCAAGAAATACAATTATCTGACTTTATTGAATACATACCCTAGGTGGATAACTGGAAGCTGGCCACGGTCCCATAACCATGGGCATTGTTTGTGGTGGTTGCATAGTAATCGGTGATGTGTTGGGTAAAGATGAAGGTGCTGGATTCAAATGAGGACTAGGTGGTATAGGCCCGGGAGGCCCTTTCTGATCTCTTGGGGGCCGATACTGAGATCCCATCCCTTGTCCAGTGACGGGCATGGCACCGCCCATAGGCATACCCATCCCGGAGTTTTGCTTATGATGTGTATTATGTCGTGGTCCATGCATCATATAATGGGGAGGTCCATGACTATGGTTTGGATGATGCGGCGATGGAGGACGTGTATGATATGGAGATGTTTGACCATCATTAGAGGAGACGTTTGATGACACAGAGTCCTTTCGATGGTGAGGAGAATCGTGAGAGGAAGATTGTTGGCGATTAGAAGACGTACCGCCATTTTTGGATTGTGATACGGGGGCAGATTGACCTCTTTGGAGGTCTTGAAAGCGGGCCGCCTGTTGACGACCTATTGGAGGACTAGTGGGAGTCTGTTGTGCGGACGTTGAACTCGCCTGTACATGCGAGGGCTGCACCTTTATTGTTATTACGACAGTCAATATATGTTGCCGCCGGTAAAAGGAATTGCCAGAAAGAAATTTAGCACGTATTGACACGTCGTTGTAGATATTTGTTATTAGAGTGAATAAATGTCATAGTACGAAATAAAAGAATGATAGTAGGTATGTATGAAGTATATGTGAAACATACAAAATTTGTATTCATCAATTAGGAAAAAATAAAACAGTAAGTATCAAAGAATGCATAACAAATGTATCGACTATACACAAGTGGTTACATACATTGTCTTCTGATGATGATCCCTGTGCCCCGCGTGCGGCCATTGTTCCGAACGTGGTGTTTCCACTCTTAGTAGCCATCGATAGCCTCCCGCCGCTCATATTTGAATTCCTCACCGCTACAGGAGATGATGGGGGGTGTGCGGGTGCTGACGGTTGATTCGTTACACCGCCAAATTGAATTGAGTTAGGTCCTGACAATAATAACAAGGATATTCAGAATGCAAATTATAATGGGATCGGGGAAACAAGTGTAATTGGAATTACAAAGATTGACACTAAGACTAATAAATAACAATGATTACGAATGGGGGTAGATAATGCGACAGTGAGTTAAGGAAAATTTGACAACAGAATAATGGCAATAACAATAGTCAAGCCATATCAAAATATAACATCGACAAAATAATAATAGTTACTACAATTTTCAATCCATGCAATTATTAATATCTTGGATTTTGTTTCTTCAACAATAATAAGATTGTCCCTCTTATTATCAGTCTCCCATAAGAATTATCTTATGTTTCAATCAATTTATAAGGCAATGCAGCAAATCGTCCGCACACTTATTCTTGTTTCATACGAGAACATTATTTGATCCCCGTGAATAAATGTGCGTTGAATTGGCTGAATAGCGAAGAGAGCAACTTGTAAGCAAAAGGCAATGATAAGAGAAGTAATATATACTGCTAAAAATCAGGAAAATAATATTACGAAATTCTCAAGGCGATCACTAGAAATAATCAATAAGGGAATAATATAATAACGAGACTCATCAAAATTTTTTACAGAAAACCATCATACCATTATAGTATTTCTAACAATAATGTATGGTTTCTTCTTTCTCAATCAATAATTAGAAACTTCACCAATCGCATTATCAAATTTGTATATTTACCATACATTCCCCGCTGACCATGATTATGTTGATTATGTTGACTATGCTGGTTATGCTGGTTATGTTGATTATGCTGATTATGCTGATTATGCTGATTATGTTGATTATAGCCCCCATTAGGATTCTGATTAAAGGGACTCCCCTTTTGGTGTCCTGGTTTGTTACCTGACATTTGCCTGTTGCTGCTCCCGTTACTCATACTCGCGTTATGGTGGGGCTGTGACTTTTGTTGCGCCACTGACTTCCCGTTCACGGATGACGGCGGATTAGAGGCATTTATTACACCTTGTTGCTGCTGAGTCTGAAGCTGCTGCTGTTGAGGATTCTGCGGCTGGTTCTGGAGTGACTGTGATTGTGTTGTTTGAGCAGATTTCGGTATATGCTGCGCAGCAGCCTTAGAATAGGTTTTTGGAGTGTTTTGAGAGTTCGTTGTTCGGTTCATTATGGACCGCTTAGAACATTTCAGAAGATAAGTCGTAACAAATAGCGAATTTTTGTGCCGTATAAAGGCTGACAAATAAAATACTGACCGATGAATAATCGATAAGAGGTTAAAAACTTGTTTGAGTATCGAAACGGAGACAATTTTATATGAGGCAATCAGATGTCATCTGATATGACGTAACAAAAAAATTTTCATACCTGTTACTATGTGATGACATCATAACTATATGAGTGGGAAATAAAAATTAATGAGAAAAAGGTGTTATATTATGCATAGCCCGGTGGGAATGGATTCTGCTGAAAGAATGTCTGTTTTGGAATTAAGCATGCCATTAGAATGCTTATTAATTTGATATAGCATGTCCCTATTTGCAATAGTTACATAAAGATTTCAGAATTATTAATTAAATATGATGCTTGTCAGGTGCCCCTCGCAGCCTAACAAGCAATTATCCAATAAGATTCACACAAAGTAGACAATATAATTCGACAACGGCAGACTAGAAGAAAAGTGGTAACAACAATTAGAAATAAAACCGAGTCAATCAAAGTAGCGCCTAACAGAGTCAGCTAGAAGCGTACACAACAGTATTTGATACAAATTTCGGTCTTATTTAACATAGTAATAGCGGTTGTAAACGCGAAAGGCAACTTTCAGAATCGATAGAAGACTGCTATTTCTGGTATTAGTTCAGCTGTGAAAATCAGAGGTCAATACCGACACCTTTTACCTGCCTTTTTGTGTTGATACTATCAAATCTGTAATATCAAGCAAACCCTGATGGCAACTCTCTGTAATATCCTTTGGCGAGAATAAGCAGCATTCGTGTAAGTCGTCAGCAGGAACCCTAAACGAATACGTTATTAGTTATTCCCTATGGGGGATAATAAACAATGCCGAGGTTTTACAAAGAGGTAATATTGCAGTTACGCCAACTTAAGTAGAGACAAAATACACTGACATTTTTGATTCTGTACCACTTAATTGTAACATCTTCTAGCCTCGATATAATAAAGTCGATGAGACGGGATTTTTCTTTACTATCGATATCAATATAGTAAAGTTCATATATATATATATATATAAGTGGCATAAATCTTCACTATGTTGCGACTGGCAAATCTTATAGTATTATAATAATAAAACGTTATTTCTGCTGACGAATCTAGTACTGCTGAACGATTTATATGAAATGTACTGGTACAGTACTAAGTTGTTTAACGTAGCAAGTGTCATACCGTTCAATTATGTAGTAACCTCTTGATTCGGTTATAATTTACTAAAGCCATTCAAAAACAAAAAAAAAGGAATCAAGAAAGACGTAACACTGACTAAACGATTGCACTTATTTGGTTCAATACTCAGTAAGTTGTTGAATGTCTTCTCTTAATGTTTGTGACAGCTTCACCTTGGCGTTTGTATTCTTTTATATGCTATCGTTTTTTGAAATTTGATAACTATGCATTAAGACCAAGTGACAACCATCTTACCTTATCACGCACAATCTTTGAAACGGTTGCCTCAGAAATATCGAATTGCTTCGCTATTGTAACTTGGCTGACACCTCACTCTTTTAAACGACATATTTCAGCTTTCTGGACATTGGACAAACTTCTTCTCTCTGAATTGGCTTGGCTTTTCTTTGTAGCGTCCAGTTTCAGTTAAAATTCTCTCACGCAATTTATCAACACGTGTTTGTATTATGATTGGTCAATATACATCAGGTGGTACAATCATCACTATATCGAGATGCAATTGTTTGCGACTATATTAATATCTAATAACGAGACTTGTATCAGAGGAATTCTTTATTACAGCGCGAAATTCACTGTATCTATATCGAAGTTAGACTGTATATGACAATCGATGAAACTTTTTTACAATAACGAGCTTTTTCTTGAACAGGTAGACTAAGCCCTGTTTATTGATCTCACGTCAGGTCTGTAAACTGTTTTCTTTTCTCTGTCCGTTTATGTTAATCAACTGCCGTTTGATAATATTCGTGCCAACATTTGGTCACACAATGCCTTTATACTTTAAGCTCTTGTTAACTTTAATTCTAACCAATCGATTTGCTTCATTAGTAGTTAACTATTAACAACAACAACAACAACAACGTTGCCATATTTGCATCATAGCTCAATATGTTATTAAATCACATAACAACTTAATATATTATAATGGACTGCGACGTTGTGAGAATAAAACGCTTGGCAAGTATTTCTGTGGCCAGTTGGTTCCTCGGATTTTAGTTCATTATTATTGTATGGCTATCCCAACTGATTTAAAACCGTATTCAATCCGACTTAATTAGCACAAATGTTTATTGTGACTCAACGTTTATAAAAGCACTGGTCAAAGTCTATCACTTTGTGGACCCAGAATATTGTTGTCGTCGCCAACAATTTGTTAGAGAAAGCGAAGGGTTCAACACATTTGAAAATTGACAATATGTTTGTATGTTAATTAATACCCAACTCTGCTAATCAAAGTTTTTAAAGACTTGTGAGATTACTCACTATTGGTGATAATCAACATTTGAAAGAGCTCATTACAGTGTTTTAAGTATTAGAATTACTTGTGAAAATATTTCTAATAAATGCAACTCACATGATTTACATGTTGTAGCAATTGTTGCATTCTTAGAACACACAATAAGATTATCCTTGATAGTTGTGTAGGGCTTTGTGAAGAATTGCTATCGTTCCTGTATCGATCCTGGTTTCAATAAGAAGAATAATAAAATACCAACGGTTGGTGCTAGTAAGCATTAGAAGCTTGGAAAACATAAAAAATGTTTCTAAGAAAGCCTAATGTTAATAATTATGGCAGATTAAACCGAAATCTTTTTGGATTCTCTTTTAATGCCTCTGAAACCCGCATATTAAATATTAATAGTAGTCGTACAATAATTAGCCTTTAGTATTAGATTTATTTGGGTTAAATTGGCACCATAGTACACGTAGCCAAAATAGGATTAAATATACAAGTAGCGCGACTTTCCGACAGAATTAATATGTTCTATCATGTTCCTTAATATGTTCTATCATGTTCATGTTCTTTTAATATTTCTTTCTTACAATAAACGAGTAGTTCTAATACATCGCTAATAATTCGTTCTCTGGTAAATTAACGGTATTAGTATAGCCGAGAAAGCGCTAATTCCTATAATATTCGCTCTTGTCCCGCTTATATTCTCGTATAAATATTCGTTCATAAGAATTACACAATCACCCCAGAACTGTAGACATTGAAACCAATCCCATCAGTAGATATTAGTGAATATACTCGATATTGTTATTATCATTAATAAACGAGTAGTTCTTTATACTCTGAACATATATGATCAATACTTTATTTCCCTAGTATCAATATAGCCGAGAAACTGTTAATCCCTATATAGTTTAGGAGTATTCGTTTCTTGTTCCGCGATTACTCTCGTGGCAATACGATAAATATTCGTTTAAGTAGAAATGCGTTTGTTATTAGGCTTCTGATTTGATGCCATCGGAAAAATACTCGAGGACATATGTTTATCGAGGATTAACATCTACAGATCGACGTTGAGTAAAAGCCTGGTTTAAGGCCATTAGCTGTTGCTATTTTTAACTAAAGTAGGGGAAGCCATAGCTCCGCTCGAAAGATAGTTAAATCCAAGAGCTCTGCCGTGGTTGTTGACTCGACACTTTCTACTAAATTTTCTAAACAATTTGGGTCCAGTTTCAATCACTCGGCAGCTATGCTCAATTGGTTGAATGAATTGGAGCAGAATTTCCATATCTTCTGTTAATCCAAGCTGATCGTTGACGAAACACCTCCGCGCTGCCCAATCATTCGAAATCTCTATTTAATGACATATTTATTTCAAGATGAAAAAAAAAATCTATCAGTTTTGATAGTTCAAAGATATCGAGTTTGACGAAACATTCGGCTTGAGTCGATACTTGATACTGGTATTTTACAAAGTGACATATCATAGATAAACTAAAATGCGCACTCGTAGATTGAAATATTTCTTTCCGAGGTCGTATTTTAGTCCTTATCAGAGATGATGTTGAGAGATTACATTCAACTAAATGCACACCCTGGGCTTTCATTGTAACGACGCTACATTGAATATTAACGAGACCCATTGGATGAATGTACAAAGAGAGCAATGTGTTGTTTACGTTAATTAGATAATAAACATACATGCCTGAAAAAAAAAGTCAACAAAGATGTCAATTTCTATCAGGCCAAGTGAATCGTGATTGTTTAAGCAGCTTTCCTGAACTGTAGGAGTGCAAATTACGTTATTTAACATTTTTGAATCTGTCGTGTCTTTATTCGATCGTTATGAATGACGACGCAAACGGCTTAGAAATAGTTGTTCATTCTACAGCAACAATAAGACTCTAAAGAGTTGCTAAAACATGTAAGAGTGCTTGAACGTTACATTAGTTTAAAGTCGGTAAGCAAACAATGATACACAGTGGCTCTCGATATAATGATCCCTCGATAATATGAAGTTGGCTAATATGATGCTTTTTCCCGGAACCAAGTCAGTTATAATAAAATTGGGCTCAATGTAATGAAGATTATTTATAATCTCGCGAAATACGTTATAATGATGTTGTTGTGCGATTTATATAATCTCGATATAATAAAACACTATTATTTTATCGAGCTGAACATCATATTAAGGATGTTTTATGATAAGTTTTATTCTCTTTAACTCGTTCTCGCATCAATTAAAAGCCATACGAACAATAGAAATGTGATTAAAAAACCTTCAATAAGCGGGTTTCTCTAACGGATGTTCAAAAAAGCTTAACCTAATTTGATTCTAGCGGCACTTGCTAAACTGTATGGATTAAAGAAAATACGGTCTCTACCATTCTCAAAAATCCATCGTCCTGGCTGACTCTAGACGAAAGTTTTTCTTTAGCGAAGAGGAAACGCGAACGAATTGCCGCATATCTTGTAATTGAAGAAGCTCTTTATACGTGGTTAGAACACGCAAATCAGTTTCCCAAGTCATATCTGGTCATATTTTGCAACAAAAGGGAAAAAAAAAGGAAAAAAAAGAAAAAGCTTTTGCAACTCTGGCAAATATCATGCTGGCTTTCGAACTCTAAAAAGCGTTATAATCTTCGGGGTACAAAAAAAGAGGCGTTCCGATTGACGATTTTCCTCAATTCCGTGACGAATTACCAGTTAGAAGACATCTACAATTGTGATGAGACCGCATTGTATTGGCAACTTCTGCCATCATACAACTAAGATCAAAAAGTCAAAGCAACGTATTACGAAATCAGATTAAAACGAAGCCTGGCATTTTTTGCCACCAAACACCACTCCGCAATCCATGGACGTGGGATTATTTACAGTTTTAAGGTTATTACGAACATAGCATTTTTTAATTAAAGTTTAAAGGTCGTTATTTAACGTAATATCAACTTAAAGGCCAACTATCGTCGTTTTCTTTGCGAAAACTGTATCGATGCGTATGATCTTGTGTTAAATACAAGAACAAAAGTTCCCGAACTATTGCAGAAGCAATTATATTAGCTGCAAGCGCGTGGGATAACGTTAATATTAACACAATTCAAAACAGTTGGAAGAAAATTCGAATACTGTCACAATCCAACATGGATATTGATAATGAAATGAATGCGAGGAGGAAGTTGCCAAATGACGAAGAAATAATCGAAATGGTAAAGTATTGATGAACCCGATGAGACGAGCCCGAAGAACAGTTTCCTTTTGTCAAAAGCGGTGAAGCAGTTCACGGAGTACTAATCATAATTACATTAGACAGCAGAACCAAGAGTTTGTTATCGCAAACGAAGAATTTAAAACGTTGTTTTAAGTATAAGGAAAAAAACAACTATTACACTCAACTAATGCGAAGCGACAAGACAATCTATCTTTTCTAAGATAGGTATTATATACAGTATATTACATTTACCCCGATAAACCGAATTTCTTACTTTTTGAATCTCTTCCCGAATAAATTCAGGTATTTCTCCCGGTTCACTATGAATAGTTGGTCACGTGATTTAACAAAACCCAAATATGGTTGACAACAAGCACTAGCCGTTTTGAGAGATTGTATTGGTTAATATTAATAGGAAACTATAAATGGTTCTGATGAAGTACACTATGTTTTTTAAAGTTTCACAAACATCAACTTTTATTTTTAACCAGGCTGCTGAATATGAACATACATGTTGTATACATGAACGACATTTCATCGTTATTTAAACAGCTTGACTTTTGTTAAATGCAGGGCTCTCCCATGGATTCTTCCGCCTCTCTCCACTAGTATGCGATTCACTTCCTGCATAATCATCATAATCATCACGCTGTTTCTGCTTCTGTTGCATTTCTGCAAATTGCGAATGGGCGCGTCCAATTTGATTCTCAATGAACGATATAGTTTCGCAAATACGCTCCGTAAGAAGATTTTCGATCTGACGCTTGATTCTTGATTCGACTAATGGGACCAGTAATTTGTAAAGCATACTAATAGATATGGTAGATAGAATTGAATTGACAATTATATATCTGGTAATTCGCATAAATAATCTCATTCAAATACTTGTATAATTCTCCATGTTACTTACTCACGCCGCGTATCGTGCAATCTTAATTTGAATTCCGAAATTTCGGTACGAGCCTCCCATATTTCGAGCGAGAGAGGTTTATCGTCGGTGTGAAGCTTCAAACAGACTTTCACGTGGATCCTCATACCAGTATCCTCAGGAACGGCAAAGTCAATAAGACCAACCTGATTGCAGTGAAAGCATAAAATTGTTAGGATTTGGTGCTTAACGAGCAATTATTTAATCAGATTCTAGACTACTTACATCCATCATGTTGATCATTCCCTTCTTCTTTTTATAGAAAAAGGCTATATTCCGTGCATCTGCATGCAGTTTAGAACTGTTGGAGACAACAATGGTAAGTAAAACCGAAATGGATACTCTATACATAACACTGACAACAAAACAAAAGCGTACATGTCGACCGTAATCGTATACTGTACGATATCATTTTCCTCCCTATCAAGGTTAATGTCTGCATTCAAACTCATATGGACATGCTTTGGAACAATTTCCGACACGTGAAGCACAATATTGTCAAAAACATAATCATATTGATCATCCGAACTACAAACCCAAATAAGCAGTCAGTACTGTATCGGAAAAGAACACAGGATCTGATAATACACGATCAATAATAGTTACGCACTTTTCAATTCGGGGTAGAGAAATATACTTGAGCCTCTCCCCAATAATTGGCAATATTTTAGCGAAGTCTTTTACAAGTTCCAATTTAATCGTTGGCCTGCCTCTTTCGTCCAAGAACAAATCCTCTATCAATGTCTCCAGATCCTTCGTGAATTGACGAGTTGTCCTATCTTCTTGCAACGCTTCATTGAATTTGCTTGCTTCGTCTATTAAGCGCTGGCTTATTTCTCGGTAATTCTCCAATAAAATTATGCGACCCCTATCTATTAGTTGAGATACAAGAGAATTATAATCTGTCTGCTGAACAAATTCAGGATCCTGCAACGACTTAATCACGAAATCTTTTAGATCACACAAGTATTGACGAAGCTCATTGTCCTCTTGTACTTTGACAGCAAATTCTCTCAACACAGAAGTCAGAGGGTCGAGTGACTGATGGCCGGCAAAATTCTCAACCAGTTCTTTCGCATTCTGTTCGGCAACCTCAAACGCGGGTGTCTGTGCCTCGCTCGCTTTTTGTGAGACATGTGTCTTCAACTGTTGGGCGTGTGAAGCAACATGTGTTACTATATTAATAAAATCTTCTAGCGCATCTTGATATTCCTTGCTCTTCTGAGTTTGAATAATTAAATTCTTAAATCTATTAATGATCACATCGCGTTTCTCGGGTGGTAGACTAATACCAGAAATGGATGAGCGGACGTTTGAAACAAAAGTATTAGCACTGTTCTTCGCTGCTTCCTCAAAGGATATATCTCCCTTGCTATAGCGTTCAATAATTGGTTCGGCAACATCAGCAGCCGAACGGGCAATCGGATGAACAGTCTCGCGTAATTTCCCAGTGGTCTCGTCAATAGCTTGATCTACAGATTTCTCTTGATCGGTACCAACGCCAGTACCGATATCTCGCTGCTCCTCATCTCCTGATGCAATGGATTGACGAAGAACGTCGCGAATGATGGACAGAATATCATTGACTAGTTTACGGAATTCGGGTGAAGATACAAGGAGACGTGCGACATTTATTGCGTTGCTAATGCCTTCGCGTGCGAGAGATTGCGTTGTTGTCGCACCCTCCTCAGCTCTTGCTTTCAAGTCTTCCGGAATGTCTGCTACTTCCACGTCTACTTAATAAATTTTGTTATAAAATTAGAGTTGACGTTCAATCTTAACAAAGCTGAACTCAACAGACGATGTTGATATGATATATTATATACCGCTCAAGTCCTTAGCAGCTTGTGTTCCATAATAGACGACTTTCTGTAACTCATCCCCTGCATTTTTTTCTTCCAATACCGCCTTTGCACTTTCCAACACCTTTTCCGTATCTACAAGGACTTTCTTCCCTGAAGGTGACATTCCACGTGCCGTATCGTAAAGCACGTCCGAGCGTTGAACATCTTCGATAGCCGAAGTTATTTGGGCAGTGGTAGGTAGTTTTCCCTCACTGTTAAGATGGTGTGTGATGAATATTAATTACTAAATCAAAATTTTTTACAGGTTCCAAAAGGAAGATTATGCTTGCCTTAATGCCTCACTGATTTCCATGGCCTTATCTTGTTGTCTCAATGCTTGCACTTCTCTGGCAGTGCGCTCAGGATCATCTTTGGGTGGAAGCTTAGACATGTTTGATAAAAAATAATATATTTGATATAAATTATTTTCACCAGCGTTTCCGATCCATCTTCCTTATATATACCAGTCACTCTACATCCTCGAGTCTTTTCCCATTGCGTCATATTTCGCTAATTCTGAATGTACAGTCAATAATGTAAGACAAATGCGTCATCCTGACGAAAGCACGAAAGTCGGGCGTTGAAGATGATAGCTTTGAGGTTCGTATTAATATTAATTTCGTGAAGTTTTTGTTGCCCTAAAATTCGGGCATTTGGGAGCTGAAATAATTGTTGATCTGCTAATCTTTCATACTTCTCAGAACATCATGTCGTCATCGCGGCGTTGATATTGATTTTCGAGAGTGGTTTGTCTCACTCAACTACGCAAAATTTGGTAATCACGTCGTCAGCAACGAAACCCTCACCAGGAATGAGGAACAATAATCTTAAAACAAGGTTAGTAGCAATAACTGGCGGGTGAAGTCCGATTACAGATATCTTGTTAAATAATTTGCTGTTTATTTCACGTGGCCTTCACAGTGTTATAATTGTTCAAGGTAAAGTCTGATACCATTGAACGGAGCATTGAAAACGATGCCCATGTTTAATACAATGGCACAAAAGATTTGGGATTCATTGAATTGAAGTAGTAGACAACAGTAAAGCGCCTCTAATTTATCCTCTAGCGCAATTCTCGTAACGGGGCAGCGATAGTTCAAAGGAATTCATACTTTTCGAATGAAAAGGACGTTACACAATAACAATAATTTTGATAACTCATGATTATATTAATATCTCTGCATATTATTAATGTATTTGTAGTTTGATCATGCTGATAGTAATAATGTTCCATATTATATATTATAGCGGTTTATGTCATCTGATTAACTTTGAGAAGTCGTCTATAAGGTTACTTATTGGATTTTTTTGATTATTTGTCCGTGCAGGCCCGCCCCTTGCGCCTGTCTTCCCACTATTGTTACTTGCACAATCATGATCGACTTGCAAACGATGTTTAATACAATATGACTTCCCGCATCCAGTGCAAACGAGGCGCACAGCAACTCTGTTTTTGCATCTAGAATATGAGCACGAATTAAATGACTTTGTCGAAGTGCTTTTTGGCGCTGGTTTGCAGAAATTTGATATATGCCGGTCCATCTAAGTCGTTCAATATAAAGTTATCGGTGAATTGCCAAGAAAATAACGACATTATATACAACGAAAAAGAACGTATAAATACCCTAATGTTTGGATCCTCGCCCTTGCTCACCGGTACCGGAAGACCACACAACGGGCAAGTCGGTACACGCACACCTTCCTCACTTGGCGCTAACTGGCAATTATGAGCTTCTGCTTTACGGTGATCTTGGCAATAGTCCTTCTTACAATAAGAACACTTGAAAGGTAAATAATCTAGCTGTTTACAAGAAGGCTCAGCACACTGACGGCCTAAGTTTGGCAATTCCATTGCTTGAATAAGATAACAATAATGGTTTTATGTCAACACGTCCCTTGGTAAGAGTAGTCGTCGTATCGGTATAGTGAGAAGTTGTCTGTGGATACTAATACTAATACTGTACTTTTCGATTAGACCTTTTTATAGAATACGAAAGTCCGTCATCATTGATTACGCAATCATAATTTACGAGAATCACCCAGCATGTGACAATGAAATAATCAATGCTATAAAAAACCAATATTAATATTAATATTAAAATAACAATAATAATATTAATATTATTATTACTAATATTGCAGTTGATATGCATTATTATGCTAATCAGCCTGCAGTTGACCAGTAATATTATAAGCTGTAACGCAAGCCACAACTCAAAAACTGAATCACGGGAACACATCATGCATTACTTGTCGCCATCGTGTCTCAAACAAATAACTGAAGCTCAAAACACAAAAAAGATCTAACGTTAACGACGAGGATATTCACTTTTTTTTTTCCATAATAATACGCCTAGTCGCATATTTTCACCTTCACCGCTTGTAAATGTCAGATAAGCAAGAAATCAAGGTAAGCCGTATCCGGCGGGAAAACTGTAACCGAGTAGCTACTTTTTCGCTTAGCGTGCTTAGCGATGCCATATCTACATGATAACAGACAATGTCAAAGTTGTTCACGCCAGTTCTATTATTAATATAAGATCGAAAGCGCCGAGCAATTCGACGCAGAAATAAAAAAAATACAGGAGATATTTCAGGAAAAAGAATCTGAACATACTTGGCAAGGATTTGATGAGGCATTGAGTCGGCTAACCGTAATGATACAAAATGGTGCATACAAATACGAGAGTTCATTCCTTTATGGATTAAAGGTCTTGCGAAAACCTATAGTAAACTCGGTAGGTTTAACGTGCATCAAAACAAACTACTACTATTGTCTACTTTAAAGAAGGAAATGTCTCATTGAACTCTTCGATCACAAACTCAATAATTATAGTTACTCACAGACAGAACGCGTCTGTCTGGAACTGCTGTCGAATTGATTGAAGAAATTGCCAAAGCTTTGGGCCCTAAATTTCAATCGATGGCAGACACATACGTAGCAGCCATATTGAAGCTGTGTATGCGCACGAACAAAATATTCATCACTAGAGCCCAAAAGTGCATGATTGGTATCATTAAAGTTTCTTATATTCCCGCCATTATTCCGAAATTCAGGGAAGCTCTACAGGATCCAAGCAAGAATTTACGGGCTTGTGCGGCTGAGTTTATTCTTGCTAGTTTGGAAGCGAACGATGTGGGTAGTTTAACTGACTATATCGATGACTTGGAATCGGCAATACGAGAAGGAGCCATTGACTCGACGCCCGCCGTAAGAGCAACGACAAAAAAAACCTTCGAGGTCTACAAACTTAAATTTGACCTAAGATTACAAGAGTATGTTTGCACTTGGCTTTTAAATTGAGCATTTTCAGTCACTATCCAGCTGAAGTCTCTTGGTTTTGATTTCAGCTTTGTCGATACATTGCCAGGAATGACAAAAAAGTATCTTGGTATACAGGATAAACAACCACCAAAGCCATTTCGACCACCCCTGCGCAAAGCGCATTCGTATGCGCAGGCCAAGGAGAACCCGCAACCTCTTTCCCAGACCGCGCCTAGTACGATAAACAAAAGAGGTGTAACAGGTAATGTCTACGTTGTGACTTTGCGTTATCTATGAAAAGAGGTCTAATCTATTTTATATTATCGGAAAGGCGGCGCACAGAGAGTGAAATCAAAGGAGTCTAATGCTGAAGAGAAGACGAAAGTTAGGAGGGCCTTTACTAAATAATGAAATGTGTACTAGGCAGATACTTGACCATGTAACACTGTACTGGTTTCTGTCGAAGTAAAATCAAGGGTTTTACGGAATAGAGTATATTGGCAGTCTCTAGATTTATTAAAATCTTCCAGAGAGCTTGATTATCAGGCTATTTAATAACAAGCTTGAATTTTGCTGTGACGTTATCATTATCTTTATTGCTCAGGCATCATACAATAATGATTGATGTTGTCCAAGGGCACTGGGCTACCTGCCAATTTTCCTTCTGTTGCAATACAACATCTCGAAGGTTTCGATGAACAAATTCAACGTGCTATTGTTTTCCAGCCCTGCAATAAAATCACGATAGACCGACTTGTAACTCGTTTCGGCTGGCAAAAGTGCAAGTAATTCGGTTGACATTTCTACCAGGACTTGGTAGTCCTTTACGATCATAATAATAACAGAAGACGACTATGTAAGGGGAGGAGATCCTAACGAAAGCGCTGTTGTGCTGACATCGAGTAGTTGCTGCCTCGACAAACGTGATCTTTACAACATATATACAGTGCACGAAAAAGTAATGAGAATAATATTTTTATGTGCCGTAAGCAAGAACAGCTTAGAAGTGCACAAGATTTTTATATGCATACTGCCTGTGATATGGTAAACAACTTAGTTAAGACTACCCAATAGTTTATCTTATTACCATTACTTGCAATTACCTCCTCCAATCTCCTTGACATGCTACGAACTAAATTAACAAAACGTTTGCTTTGCTTCCATCCAATTCTTTTCGAATTATCTCAAGAAAAATCTATAGTAATAGTAAATACTTTGTTTTGTACCAATAAACTGTAAGCTTTATTTTAGAATTGCAGACAGACAAGTAACAGTATAATGCGATAATAGAGCTAAAAATAGAAACGTAGCAATTAAGAAGCTCGACTTTTCGCTAGTTTTCATCATGTTAACGTTATATTCGTATTTCTCTCTAATAAATTGGTCGTTCTTTATACTCTAAAACACAACATTGATCCTTGGTAATTATTCGGTAGAGCTCTGATGGCAATTACGATTGTTCGCTTAAGTAATATATACCCCAACTTACGGACTTCCTAATTAAGATCAATTGTCATTTGCCCTCCCATGACGTTAACTCATTGATATGATTCTCGTATCAGATATCTGAATGCCTCCTCGTTTTGGGGGTAAGCTAAAGCGGAGTAGTTTTTTTACAATTTCATTGGTTGATATACAAATTTGACCAATGTAATTGCAAGAATCAGGTCACGTTCTACTCCGCTTTAGCCATCCTCTCGTTTTGGAATTAAATAACAAGTAGTTGGGTTCTTCAAAGCATCTGGAATGTTTTGCATGCTAATTACTGGCAATGAGGACCAGTAAATTGGCAGCAGTTAAGATTTATCCTACAAAAAAGGACGTAAAACTAATAGGTATAATAGTTTTTTTGCAAGAGTATGTCAGATAATACTTTTCTACCTCATCACAATTTCCATAATGTGTGATTGAATCATTTGTTTGCACATATTTGGTGCACGCTATAAATCTTTTTTCCTTTCTCGTAATTAACTGCTCAACTGCAGTACTTACCCTGCTTATTGGCAAAATGTTATGTTGGACAGAAACTTCATAATCTAAATACACAACTGCTTGTCCCTCTTTATTGTAAGTGACAATGGTATCACGTTGAATTGTTATGTAGTGTTTTCAATCCAAGTACGTCTTTGTTGATTACAAATACTAAGCATCAAAGTGATTATGTGAGCAAGAAAGCCTTTGAGATTCGATCTGATATTGCTGATCAAAATTGTCCGAGCGTAATGTTACTCGCGGTCTATATGTAGATAATATCGACACTAATTGTTCTCTTTTTCGGGAACAATTACGATATAGTAAAAATTTCGCTTCAACAAAACAAATGTTCTCCTTGCCAAAGCACTTGCACGTCTCTAAACACACCCTGGTCCTCTTCCACGACGCAACGAACTGTGGCCCTCCACAATGAGATAACAAACTTTGCCCCCGTTCAATCTCGCCTACGTTGTGGTAAATCGATACGAAGAGTGCGGTTAATACCGTGTGTTTATACACCAGTACGAATAAAATGACTTGAGCTTTATACTTCGAAAGTGTAACTCGCCTACGTGCTTCGTCTGAGTATGGATAATCATCGTACTAGGACGATAAATACATGTTGATATATTGAGGAGTTTTAATAGGAAACAAAGTTGACACGTTCGAGAGTTATTTCCGCTTAATCTACGATTGAGAGAGCGCGCACAATTGTTATTGTTAGGCAATTCACTACGCCAGGGAATTATTATCAATACCCTAGCCTATGATGAAGTGTTGTCCCTAGAGTTAGCCCGGGACGCAGCTATACGTGATGCTATTTGCAGACCGGAAGTAACTCCCCAGATTCTCTAAAGAAATCCACGTGTTTCGAAAATATTCATCCCAGTATTATTATAAGGGCTAGAGTGTGCATGATGTACAGGGATATTAATTGGGAGCCCATCACGAATAAGAACCCTCGTGCAAGCCATTGCAATTCAGAATCAACTAGCCAGTATAGCGCCACCCCTGACAAAGTGCATTCTTTCAAATTATAGTAATAGTGTTTCTATAAAACGATAACTTGATGTTTTACTGAGTATTGGTTCTAAAACAGATTTATTAAATTGATGCAATTCTTAACTCTTTTACATCAACCCACAATGGGCAGCACTACATTCGATCAAAAATCATACATAACAGAAGCTGTATTCCAACGAAAACGAGCTTAGAATCGCTTATTCGATTGATTTATATACACTCTATATACCATAATTAGTATTCCGATAAAGACAACCGTAGCAATGAGCTTTAACATAAAGAGAAGACCAGTCCAGCTTGATGAGGAATGCTGGTAGTGCATTGAATTCTGTAAAATATTTCCGGAAGGGCTTTTTAGCAAGTGGTCTAATTTCTCGTAATCGAGTAAGACGCTTTACCCACCTCAGGATGTTTCATTCTTTGTGGAAGGGCTATGATATTGTTCGTTGCAACGCTTATGATATCGTGATTATCTACGATAGATGATGATGAGAATACGTGCAGTTTACGTAACCGATAAGCAAACTGATTAGTTACCAGAAACCTCTCCGGTCAATGCAGTAAACCCAAGATAGTAGACTGTCGGAAGTGAGACGTTCGAAAGAGTAAAACATGGCTCCCATTGATCCCAGTCTTTGTAATGCAATTTAAGCTATTAAAATAAATATTAAATATTAGTATTGAGTTTTTTATGTCTATTTTTTGATCTTCGTCAAGCCCTACCTCGAGATAGTTATCCTTGTAGAAATTTATGCGAGCTTTAGTTGGGAGTTGTCTGCCTCGAATATCGGCCTACAAACGTAATAAATGCGGGATAAGATATATGGACGACGTAGAGATACAGGAAATATTCCATTTACTTCCGATATACCTCACATCCAGCAAGTTCATTGGCTTTACCGTCTCTGGCCAAATCATAGGAAGTCTTGCCATCTCCTTTCATAGCCATTACATATGGAAACGAATGCTACAACAGAAGATACAGTTAATCCTTACGAGGACATGGGTTTTCGCACATAAAGGATCAATACACACCGACTGTCTAGAATTAGCATAAGTGTCAAAAAAGATGCCCAAGCCTTCAAAATAATCCATAAACCCAAAGACCGGACCAGACTGAGTGCGTTGTTTGGTAAACCATACAGCCATACCATCCCCAAATAGTACAGGATTGGATCCATCGATTTTGAATTCAAACTCAACTTGCCAATTGGTAGCAGTCAAAGGCTGCAGATTCAAATATTAGGCAACGGTATCGTTTACGGAAAAGAAAAGAAACAAAGACGACCAATTAATAGTTTGGTTAAAATGGCGTCGATATCTTGAAACTAACAATGCTTACCAGACGACTCCATAACCATCCCGACTGAGACTGACGATCGTGAGTTAGACGCACGTGTCTATTAGTATTGATTACAGCATCTCCTCCAAAGTCAAACCATCGATTTTGTAGTTCCTGGTCTACGAAATAATGACCAATATAAATATTTTTCTTTTAAACTGCTTTATCACATTGAGGAAAGATCTGGGCAATACCAATATAGGGCATGTATAGAGAGTGAGTTCGCAAAGGAATAGCATTCTTAGCATCGGGAGTGTTGTCGCTTGCTTGTCCAAGAGCAAATAAACAGCATGCTATGAGTCCTAGTAAAACTAAGCCTTTGTTGTCCGTCTTTATGAAAAGCATATTTTCACAGGACAGTTTTGAAACTCTCCAAACCTCATCGAATATACAATTTTGTCATTGGCTAGGTCTCATGAACAATGAATTTCTCCTAATAAGTTTAATCGATCTACGTAGAGGTGGACATTATTAGGTCATTTATACTGTATCTCGCATCATACATACAGATTTATCATAATAGCAATGTATATAGCGAATGCACATCGAGTACATATTCGTGCTTCAAAAAAATCTTGGATATTTGTAACGCGTGTAAAACTCCCTTCCAAACTTGCGAGAAAGATTATCGCGACTTTAGCGTGTTATTATATGAGTCACACAATAGTTACGTGTAAAAAAATAAAGATTTGCATCATCTCTAAATTACTATTGAATATATATAATTCAATGATCCAAATATTAGTATTAATATTCACTAATATAATGATTGATCATCTGACTTAAATATTCGACTCGTGATATACATGATTAATTATATCCTGATAACAAACATTCCTTTGTTTCACAACGGAAGAATGTTGGATGCCAGCATTCTTGTCCCATATTGGAGAGAACCAACACCCCCCGGGAGATACGAGATAACATACCTAATGAGTGTGTTTCGTAAAGAATATAGGATGAGTAGATGAACTTTGAAAAGAGTTAAGAGCTGATCGTTCTGATCAAACAGGCTCTAATTGACCAACATCTTGTCGTGCAATCAATATGGGAGCTACATTGGAAGCCATCTCATTTTAATTTGCATATTCGACTTACCATACTAGAGCAATCACTTGTAACACGGTAAACAGTATTGTGAAGAGATACCTATGCAACTATAACAATGAAAAGAATTTATTATAGTGCAAATTATCGCAATAAGACATACCCAATCTAGATATGTAAACCTACCACGATAGCACAGTATAACGTAGCAAGCATAGATCCGATGTAGGCAAAGGTAAAAGGTAGCCTATCGCGTCCGAATATATGTTTAAGATGTGCCAAGGGGCCATGCAGCAGCGCAATACTAAGAAAAGAAAGTATCAATACAAGCAATAGCCCTCTATAGTGCGTTACACTCCCAAGTACCTGTTAAGATATCAAAATATAGAACGTAAACGCAGACCTTGTAACAACCAGAAGACTCCCCATAGTATAAGTGACAGCAAATTTTCTCGGGTTTATTGCAATTATGGGTATAGTTAAGGCCGCCTGTTCAAAACGACACCACACTTGGTATTAGTGCTGTGAATCGTTAGTCGATTAATCAAACAATAATCAACTATCCCCGATCGAAAAAATAATAAGACAAAACAAAATAAAACACACGTCGAATTACGACCAATCGATTATGAAATCGCCAATATTTACCTGTATAAAGAAATACCAGAATTTTTGCAATTGGATAAAATTAATAATCTATATTATTTTCTACTCGAGATCATTGTTAGGATGCTGGGTTAGCTGCCGAGAACCTGACCTTATCAAGGTATCATCGAAAGGGTACTAGATATCCCTATCACCATAGGAGGTTCAAAAATTGGCCTTCAATAAATCTCTCAACTTATTATTCAAGGCTTAGAAGCCACATGGAGATTTTCTGTTTCATCTCCAATCCAATCGCAAATTTCTTTATACAAGTAAATAACAACGATTCCGTTACTTCCATGCTCATTACTAGCAACTAATCGAGTGTGAAGTAATCGATTGCAAACGAGATGACTGAAGATAACAGGTCCGATTCATAACATTATCTTGACTAAAATAAACACAAATACAGAAACTAAACAACTTACGATTATGAAACAAAGAGCAGCTGTCGCAAGACATACTGCAAACCCGGCGAGACGCTACGAGAGGGAAGAAAATAGTTCAGCATTTAAATCCTTCCAAGTAGCAACCACTTGCAGCTACTCACTTGCCACCTTGTTAGAGTAAACCACCCCTCTTCCTGCTCTGCGTTTCCGGTCAAAGGCACATAACCTTGCACCCTATTACTGACGCTGCCGAAAAAGTTTGACGTAGTTTCGGTCAGTCTCGACAGGGGCGTTGTAGACTTCGTGGTTGATGTGCCGCCGGAATTAGAAGCCCAACGAAAGGATCTTAGGGATTCTCGAAATTGTTGTTCGCTCGATGTTGAGGTTGATGGCATAATGACGAATGAGATCAAAGATACGTAACCAGTGATTTTATAAATTATGCCTAATAAACATTCTATTTTTGGCAAGTGAATTCATAAGATATGATCGACAGATCGGGATATTAACGATCGAAAAAGCACGTACAGTGGATACCAAAAAGTTTGTGAATTTTTCACATGATCACCCTAAATCCGAATAAGCACGAAAATTCTGATCAT